GCCGCGGGTGGTGCACTGGCCCGGAACCGTTGAACCAGCTTATCCAATTCACGGACGAGGGTATTGCGGGCGCTGGTGGCGGAAGTGGGGATTTGGAGGACCAGGGCCAGCTGAGTGGCATCGAGATCAGCATGAAGACCAATCAGACCGCCGTGGATGCCGGAGCCGACAAGATGGCCGGCGTACTCACGAAGACCAATCTGATCTAGCCAGGCTTGTACGCGTTCACAAGTCCAAACAAGAAGATCTAAAGGGAGGAGATCAAAGATGCCCAAGTTCTGTCAGAGGCGAAACTGAGGCGCAAAAGGAAAAAGAATAAACCCCGACAGGTGGAGTTAGCTTTGTATCATAAAGGTGGATAGTGAGGCAATGAAAGAAGAAGAACTAGGCTGGTATAAGCTCAATCCATAATATGCGCCATTTTAAGTTACTGGAATTCTAATACCGAAGGCCAGCACCGTTTATTAGCAGAAAAAGCATATAGTTACTCTTTTCATAAACGAAATTTCACTCCAGAGCATCCAATGTACAACAAATTGTGAAAATAGGCTGAAATCAGCACGGAAGTATACCAAGAAGTGCCAGTCACCAAAGTACGAAAGTAGAACTCTATTGACTGCTAATGGTGCAGGAGCTCATAAGCAGCACGGATAAACTCTTTATGTGCAGCTTAATGTCCAACTCAATCCCGGTTAGAGCATTTAGTTCTCCACCAGGAGTCGATAGATGAAAAGAAACCGGAAACTCTTATTTCAGATTCCTTGTAAGTATTAGCAATAAAACGAAAAAACAGTCTAGGATTTGCCTTTCGTTGAGGCATGCGCAGAAACCCTCCTGTTTTCGAGCCAATTTTTTCTTACAATAAAGTATGGCCCAAAAAACTCGTGCAAATTTCACGACGAAATTTGACCTGGTTATATTTATTCAGGGTAATGTGCATTAATTTTGGCGAAATCGGGAGTCGTCTCATATCGAAGGACTTTGCTATGCTATTACGTACGATAGAACCAAAAATTTGGTGTATATGCATTGTGCTATATAAGAACTACAAAATAAATTTAAAAAGTAAGGTGAAAACATAGCCCTCCTAGAACCGGAAAGTTTTGTCCGAAATTGTACAGCTGCAAGTGATGCCAAGTTCAGAAAGAAGGGATGATTTATGTTTTAAAAATTATGTTTAGCTATCCTGCGAAGTTTTTCGCACAAAATGCAGTAAAAAAACGTTTCGGTCTCATTTTATTTTATCGCATCGCCTACATGGCGGATAAGCAAAGTGTTCATATATGCTACCGTGAGGGTAATGTAAAACAGGCCTTTTTAAATGTAAGTCATGTTGAAATATACATTTTGATAACAACACATTCCACTTATGTATCATTTAGAAACGGAACAGACAGAATAATGATTATTATTATTTCAACAATGGCCATATGGCAACTCTTCTTTGCATTCGCAAGCTTATAACAGATCCTGGAAGTAATCCACTATGGCGGAAAATAATCCATTATAAAGAGGAAAGTAAGTTCCTTCATTTCCAGTCAAACTTAATCGTTTATCTTCAGGTAGATTAAAAAAATTGTCAAAGTTTATTTTGACATTACCCTTGGAAAAAGATAATATACACAAAAATTCGTCAGCTGAATATCCAATTAAAGTACTTTTTATAGTTGTAATCTATTATAGAAAGTATTTTTTTATTAATCTTGGGAATAACAATATCAGAGTTATCTTGCAGAGGTTCTTTATGCCCGACAATGTGGTTTGCTGTTTTGAGGCATTTCTAAATATGATCCAAATGACCATCTTCATAAGAACTAATATCCAAAAACTCATTTTTTCGGTAAATGCTCTTGATGTGTATCATATTTTAAAGGTTTTGATGTAAACGTTGAACAGAAGCTCAATTGATGGATGAACAAATGAAGACATTGATATCGCTGGAAATTATGCCAGAATTCAAAGGACAATATTAAATAAATAGTTATCCATTAATGGTAATATCTATGAAACATTTTGACTAAAGAAGAGTCCTTTTTGTATAAAGAAAGTGGTTAAGTAAATTTTTCAACTTAAGAAAATATTTGAACTTATTGTTCTGATTTATAGTTATTTTTTACGTTTCGAGAACTTGGGGATTATCGGCAAAATTTTATTTTTCTTAAAAAATACTTGGTACTTGTTATACTTCCTTTAAGTTTTAAATTTGCCCAATGTTGTTCATTATTATTTCCAAGCTTGCGCAAATGCGTTCACGCCGGTATGCGAGTAATGATCAAACTTTTACAAAGTTAGGCATGTTGCAAAATTGTGGGGCCATACTGTATTTTTAAAGCCAGCTCATGGAGTCTTGCCGTGATTGTGACTATCGAAAATTGAAGAGGCTATTCACGATGATTGTCTGGAAAAAGGGGATGCGTCAAAATTTGGACAATTCCGCAAATTCAAAGGCTGCAAATTTAGGGCTATACTTCGCTGCCCAAAGATAATGCACTGAAGGGGACTATTTGACAGAATTTAATCATGCTAGGAATTATCCCTGAAAAATTATTTTTGTGATCGCAAGGCTCTTTAGCTACCGGGGCCGGAAGTAGTTACTGTTCTGGACTATTTAGTCTCGCATAAGTCTGTCATGTGGAGCCGTTTATGGGTGAAAATTTACGAAATAAAGCTTCACTCCAAACTGCCCAAAGAATGTACAGCGCACGAAAACCTAGCCCAAGAGCAATTATCCTCTCTGTATGGATGTCGAATCATGAAGAGGGAAGATCTGTG